ACTGAAGGAGGAGGCCAAAAAGAGTTTGAAACTGCTCGAGCGCCCCCTATATTATAAATATCACCCATGAAAGATGGCGCAGACAGCAGCAGGGAAGCAATGGGGTTGGGACGCCTGGGTAAAGGAGTGGAACAGAACCGGAATTAGCATAATCAGAATAATTTCCACCAGCTGACAGCGCCCTCATTCTTTTTCCACCAACGATTCTTCCACTGCTTTATTTTCCGTTGTTTTCCACGATCCAGTCTCGTCTCAATATCTCGCGGGCTTTCGTTTCCTCTTTCGGGAACCCCCTCCCACCCCTCCCGCCACCCCCCATCAATCGCCATCAAGCCATTCCTTATTTATGCCTACTCCTATAGGTCTCCCCTTCGATTCCGATCATTGTCGAGAATTCCCGAGTGATTTTTCGAAAGTTTCCCGAAGGTATAATTAACGCCGCCGAAGACACCCGAAGTCACCTACTCGTCGGCGAATATCGGTATAGGGAGATGCTACCGGAAAGTTGCAGGTCACGTATAGTTCTGATACTTGCCACAGTATGGTGCCTTCGACGGCCCCTCGAATATTTCAAAGTTCATGCGTTTCTACCTAATATCACTCGCGTGCACCGTTCAGCCCTCCCGCCTGCCCTTTGACCTCCCCAGAAAGCTGAAACACGCAGACACATAGCCTCAGAGCGCTACGGCTGCTTCACGTGCCACCTTTACCAACCCTCAGAGCCCTCGACTGATCTTTATTCATTCTTCGCCTCTGCCATTTCAATTTTTCTACGTTTTAACTGGAAAAAGTCAGAGTCGCGCTAAGAATCCAAAGGACGCCCACCTCGAGGTTTCCATGTCGTCACGTTCTCTTGTAAAAAATTGTAGTCAGCTATCTGTTTTAAATTTTGTCATAGTAACTTTGAATGTCCCTAGAAATGGTACACGTATATCTATATCGGTGTTACTCGAAACACAGACTATCGTTAAAACAGTTTAATTTCAAATAATTAAGTATAACCCTGTCACGGGAATCTTTATTCAATTTCTATTACGATTTAGTAGACGCGGACGCTTTCGATAGAAACGTTAGTCTTTTTCCGAAAGCTAACAAAGTTCTTGATCTCGATGATAGAATAGGCGTTGGGCGATATAGGTGTATACGGCTTTTAGGGATATACCTACGGTGAGTTTATAACTGCAATAGCCAATTCTTCTTTAATATTACCCATCCATTATTCATCCTGGATAAAAGTCGAATCCCTGAGAGCGTATTTCCAGTAAATCCAGACCCGCTGAAAATATCTGATTCAGATTCAAATGTTCATAGATCCGACGTACGACTTCGCTGGCTATTGTATTTATTGGTAGACAGCCCAGGGTAAAAGCCATCATAGCCTATGTGTATAACGTTTAGCCTCGTATGGGGGTATCTTCCCATACATCCATTATACACATGGCGGTCAGATAAACGTATTAAGGTCAGATAAAAATGAACTAACAAATAATTTCAATAAATTTACATTACATATATACCTCAATTTTTTATTCATTACATAATCAGTAATTTCAATTTTATTTTTAGCCAAAAACCGTATCACCCGAATATCTCAGAAATGAAGGACGCTTTTATACACGGTGTTCATAAATATATACATACATAAATGCAGTGGAGGTAGTGGGAGGCTTGTTCAAGAGAGGGGGGGGGCGTAAGTGAGTAAGTGTAAATGTAAGTGTAAGGGTAGGACATACGTAACTCACTCACTCAGTCACTCACTCACTCTCACGTACACGTAGCCACGCAAGACTTGCCACGTCACCGGCACTCGGATCCGCGTCTATCTGTCAGTTTCCAGTCTCAAACAAGATGGATGGCTGGCGAATGGAAATCATGGTTGAAACCTACCCCTCTGACGCTCCACCCCTCGCACTCGCTGGGTTCCCCCTCCCCTCCACCCCTTCTCGCCACCTCGTCTCTTCTCATCCGAGCCACCCTTATCCTTGGCCCCCACGTTATTCTATACTTCGCTCTCGTATCATCCAGAATCCCTTTTGCACTACCCCTTCCGAGCTTCGACATATAAATATATTTTTATACGAGATTATGCACGGACTTACCTGCTCTCTGCGAACGCCATTGCTGAATCTTTTTTTATTTTTTTTTAACTGATATCATTTAAAAATTTTTTTGTATACCCGTTATACTAACAGCTGAATCACGCAATTAAATTTTGTAACGGGTAATTTTTTAATTTTACGTTGTAAACAAGTGTATGGATACGTATAAGGAAAGGATTTGGGTTGTTGTAAAATAATATATTTAAAAAATTATTCTTTTTTAATTGTCTTATGCGATCTATGAAACACATGCGGCTATGGGGGGTAATGCCATACAATTTTTATACAAATATTTATACATGCTTTAGGTGATACTAAAATACTTACCCAGTGGGACGTGCTGTACATGTTAAAATTTATAGTACAGTCTCTTTTTACCCTTATGCAAAATATATTATCTTTATGTAGGTACCAACCCACTAAAGACTATTGTTAAAGCTTACAACGATAAAAGATACATGAGTTTTAAAGGCAAAAATTAGTTTCGCGCATGGTAGTTAATCTGCCTTGACCTATACAGTTTAAAAGTAAAGGATAGAGCATCCCTTGATAGTAATTGCTAAAAAAAGGAGTGCTCAATCAAAAATTATTTCATTAGATAAATTCGCAGGCAATATCTTGATTTTCTCAGTGTATCGTACAATTTAAACGAAAAAGGAGATTTTCGTTATTTCTATACATAGAGAGTTGCTCAGTACCGCTAACGCACCACTTGAACTCATTATGTACAAATTTTAATGGTCCAAGCTCAGTGATGCGTTGGTCCTAAAAACTCTTTTTTTAAATTTTTTACATACTAACTTATAACTAAAACTAATGCAGTGGACCTTGTGACAATTATTGCATGGAAAAAAAACAATCATTTGGTAATAATTGACTCTACATGGCAGAAAGGCTTTTTTGCCAATGGCTTGTTCAAATGATTTCAAAAAGGACTAGTTAATTATCATCTCGCCATAAGTATGTAACTATACAAAAAAAAAAAGTAAAAGCAAATGCTAATTCTTTCTGCCCTTACTTTCAAGTATTTCTAAGAAAACGTTAAAAAGCATTAAGATCTAAATAAAATTCAATGTTGATACAATTACTTAAAATGTCATAATATCGGCATAGTCCATTGCAACGATTAAGTATAAAAGGCGCTATCACTATTGGTACGTGTTATCTATATAGTTATATTGATGGATGAACAATCCTTTGAAACGTCGAGCTGCACGTATATCGACATTGTTGAACCCCCATGGTGATATCTCAGTTTGTTAACCATAAAACCGCAGCGCATGTCCTGTAACTGTAAATCCCAATGGTTACAGTAGCACGTGTTAGGCGTTGATGAGTCCTCTAGTCCACTGGTTCACTGTATACAATACAATGATTATCAATTAAATGACCATGCCAATAATAACAATAATAAACAACACTATCACTTGGTCACTACAAATTAGTCAAATCAACGCCAACGTCATGACACTCCGGTGAATTACGAACCATTTCTTCAAATACTTTAGGATCCATGGCTAAGGGCATGGCACATTGATTCGAGCGCAGCCAGGTAGCCAAATCCGATAGGGTTGGCAATGGGTTCGGTTCGTCGTGCAAAAGGTTGCTGAACGATCCGTGTTGAGAATTAAGACTTCGCGAAGTTACCGTTTGCGATGTTATAGTTTGTTGAGATGTTACAGTTTGGGTGGTTATTGTTGAATTTGCGTAATTACCTTGATCTTGTCCGTAGGTGCAAGCTGGATACTGGGCATTGCAATTGTTCTGAAGGTATTCATCTTCGTGATGAGACCATAGAGACGGCGGTACGTAAGCAGGGCGATCGTGTTGTAAATGTTGTCTGTATTCGTTTGGCTGGTCCAAGTGCATGTAGGAAGAGTGTTGCTGTTGCTGATGTTGCACGTAGCTTTGACGTTCCTCAGGTTGTTGCTGATAGTGTTCAGGGAATTGAACGGGACTTATGGTCGCGGCTGCATACTGATACCGTGCTACTTCTTCGCGGTATTGGAGATTGTCCAGGAGTCTATAGTCATGGTTCACGGGTGACGTGATGGTGTGATTGGCCGCACTTGGAAAAGTGAAGGAAATCGAGGGACTCGCTGAATTTTGTTGCTGACGACTTCCGCCGTGGACAGGCCAGGTGATCGGCGGACTGCTGTTCCTGCTGCTGATACTCGCGGCCACTTCTCTAGGGCTGGCTGGCGAACTGTTGCCACTCTTTATCGGTGACTTTGTTGGGCTACCAAGTAATTTCGAGTTTTGCTCCTTCTTGTACTTCATGCGGCGATTTTGAAACCAGATTTTTATTTGTCGTTCACTGAGACAGAGTGTGGCTGCCATCTCTATGCGGCGTGGTCGGCACAGGTAACGGCCGCAATGAAATTCCTTTTCCAGCTCTACCAACTGGGCACTCGAATATGCAGTTCTTGATCGTTTTCCGTTTGTCTGCTTTCGTCCTGTAAATAATATATTTTTTATCAATATATATATATATTATATAATGAACACAGAATTCATTTCATCGATCTAAACGTTTCATTGGTTGCTAAGAATTGCCAGATCTTCTTCACAAAGAATCACAGTGATGGAGCAACCCTGTTTGTAACCCTGGAGATCCACTCAACAATGAACAATGTTTCTGTTTACGCAATAGTTCTAGGTACGAAGAGATTGGGCCGAGGTGTGTAAATGTGATTTCGTAGGTACAAAGGGGTCGGTGATGGATAACAGCAGGAGGGTTTGGAGCTAAATAATTAGCAGCGTCCCGAGGGAACTCCTCACGTCAGGGGCCTTATTTAGGGAGTACGCACTTAACATATCTTCCTAGATAGGAAAGTTCGGTAACAACTTTTAAATCCGTCGAGCACCCGTCGGTATAGTAGATTTCGTCAACACTCATGATGTAAGATTAAAAAATTTTAACTAACGGAATAACATTTATATTTTATTCTGCTTCCGTGAATCGCTTGGAGAATGTTGTGCAAAAATTGTACAGGTGCGTGCCGGTGAGACTGTAGCGTGGCAAGTTAACGATAAGACAACAAAACAGGGAGTCGAATTGCGTGGCGCGGAAAGTGATGGCGGCACGAAACAAAACTTGTTGAGGGCCGCTCAGCGGGTGTCGTGTCGGCCCACAGGGAGACCACTGGTCCCGCTGTGCTTCTCAATGCCTCTATAACACGACCGTGATATTGGATTAAACGGTTCCACGTGAATTTACATCCAAAATGATTCGTTAAAGCTCATCTTGACAAAGGGTACCTTCGCAATGGTGATGAATCTTATACGTGACTTAGCGATATAAGACGTGAAATGGGGTGGTAGATTTGTATCGAGGACGTTTAAGCATTTCAATTATCGAACAGTGGAAAATGAAATAGTTCAACATTTTTTCTCCTAGTTTTATATATACAAATTTGTAAAAATATCAGTATATAAAACAATCCATGTTGTTTTAATTTTTTTTTACTATGATATCTACAAAATATTTTTTTTTTCATATTTTCGGCAAGATATATGTTATTGACGTGACACGTTTTTAAAGTTATCTTCAGATTGTTCAGGAATGTAGAATGACTGCCTCCGTCTTTCGACTTGCTCGTAAGATCCTTGCTTTACAGTGAAGATACCTCGCCTGGACAACAACACCAGGGGGATTTCTTATCACTATGTCAGTTCGTTCAGGTATTTCTAGAGAAACTCGTATCTCTAGTAGGTCGATGGTCTAGCAGCTAGGACAATTTTTTCAACTTGATAATTCTGTCCCCAAAGTTATTTCCTATAGCGTAGCATAATACGAGTCAGCAAGTAAAACGATAAATAATTCTTTGTCGCAAACAAATTCCATTAAATAAAAAAAAACAATTTCCACAACGCCTCACGTTTCCAAAGGAAACTTTGCCTTAATCTATTTCAACATAAAAGTTTTAATGCTCCAACTAAATAATATTCGTATGTGAATCCCTTACATTCTTCTAATATTGCTCGGCACGGAACTATTCGAAAATTCATTATGTTCGTCCAAGCTCAACTTTTTTTTTGTACTATCTTATAACTTATTTAAATTAAAATACTTATTTACTCATATTACGTTGTTATTATATTATTATTATTATCCTACATTATACACGTAGAGTTTGTATTCTACTCCAGTAGCCGGAACTCAATGACTGTTCGACACGTTAAGCCGATTTATAAATAACCTTCATGTATCGTCGTCGAGAATGATGAAATAAGGAGAGGTGTTGATTGGTCATGATTATACGTGGCAGAGAAGAGGCTCTGTTTTGAAAATACCTGTACTCACACACGTGTAATAACGTACGTACTCTTTCCATCGAAAGGGGAAAGGAAAGGACGGTTTGGTCAAGAACGCGCCGATCGTATCTGTGTAATTTTTTTTTCTATACTCACGAAATTTACTAAGCGTTATTACAGGCCCGATTTGTAAACTCCGAAAACAAGTATTTATTAGAATTAAAAAAAAAATAAAACCGAAGTACGGTAGACCCGTGAGAAAGTGTAGTTCTGTTAAAAACCAGCAATTTTTCATGTAGTTGATTGATTGTTAAGGATCATAGGATAAATCGTGAGCAGATTCTGATCAGGATATCACGAATAGGTCTCTCGCTGTCACGAGTTAGAAGTACAAAACACAAAGCACTAATTGTCAGACTGAGGACGTCAAGAGTGTACAGTAGATTTAGAAAGAGTACCAACCCCGAGGCTACCACGCGAAGTAATTTTCCTCGATCCGTCTTGAAAATCCACGCAACCTTAGATTCTTTACCCGTTTCTAAAGAGCTCCGTACAGTAACAGTAGCTGACTGGATACCCCATGAAAAATCGAAATTGAATTGAAAAATTGAATTGAAATGCCCCTGAGGTCGTTCAAAAAATTTTCAAGCTCTTCCCACAACACTTATTTTCTCCATCTCTTTCGTAATTGATAAATAATACTTTCAATTACAATTCTAATCTCGTTAGCAATGTCAATTATCTACTGCTAATACAGTTCAACTATTTACGTCTGATTCAATAGCGAAGAACTCTTTATAAGCGTACCACGTGCAAGATCAAGGGGCTATAAGGCTAAGGTTATACAGAGCCGAGAAGATTTTGGAGTTTGAAGCTACCCAATACAAGCAATGTCGACATAACGACGGGGCGGTATTCTGGGGTGGTTTAGGAGTATCTAAGGAAGGACTAGGTTACATAATGTATCACAAGTGAATAGCCCATCTTGAGACGTCGCTCAATGGGCTATTAGGACATCCTGGAGGAACTTGGAGAAGTTGGGCAAGCGTACTCCATATTTTGTAACCAATAAATATGTCACCACTGGACCGCGATAGTCCATCATCTTGTGGCTCGCGGGGACCACCCCCGTACAGGCACCTAT